AAGTGTCACAAACGAAGATCAAAAAGGAAAGAGATCAAATTTTATTGTCAAATATTATTTCATTACGTTCCTTTCATCCTAGAGTTTATAAAATGTTAAAATAAAAGCCAATGGTTTTCATAAAACAATTTAAGTTACTATACAGCGTGTAACAAAATAAACTTAATTAGCAATTTATTATATGTTTGTCAAAATTGCGCTAATGTAATAATTAATACATTATTAAAGTCGAAAAGATATTTAAAATTTTTCGTTAGAATAATTTTAGAATAATTCGCTATTTTGAGATAATTTGGCATCGAAAAATCATTTTCAGCCATACAGCAGAAAAAAAGGCCTTAAAACGGCTCAAATCCGCCATACAGCAAAAAAAAAAAATAAGTTTAACGAAAAATTGCAATGTCTAGTCTAACGAAAAAGTTGGGACAGAAAATGGCAGAAAACATCTGATTTAGCTGTTAACTCCTATTTTTTTGCTGTCATGTCTAACGAAAAGTTGGGACAGAAAATGACAGAAAACATCTGATTTAGCTGTTTTTTTTGCTGTCAAGTCTACTTTGTTAGCGTAAAATAGCGATCTGTTATTGTTTTTTTGCGGTACCGCTCAAATAAAATCTAAAACAGCTTATTTGCGTAGCAAAGCCGCTACGCGGCTGTGGTACCACTCTCAAAGATAATTAGGGTAATGACGTAGTCTGAAGTTTTGTCACGGAGTCTACGATAATATTGGATAACATAATAACCTCTGATATGTAATGGACATCGACCAAAAGTTGAACCAGTAGGCTTACCACAATCAGTACAAGGTATCCGTTTTTTTTATTTCCAATGAAATCTACATCCCTCAGGTCGAATGCAAGGTCTAGCGCACATTTCTCCGGAATTAAGAATGTAGGAGCACGAATACTCACCAATCATTTTTGAATATATGTTAGAAACTATTATTTAAACAAAAGATTTTTTATAAGTATAATATATCGCGACCGTTAGTACAAATGGCTATAAAAGAAAAATACTACTTGTGAACGTTGCGGTAAATCATTGTCAACGCCTCAAAAACTCCGTGAACATCGTAGGCGAAAAAATCCATGCAAACCAATTGTTTCAGAAAATTTATTCAATGAAGAGTTTCAGCGACTGGCTAATATTACAGGAGATTATGAAAAAAAAAATTTAGTATTTCGCGAGAAAGAATTAGTCACCGCGTAATCCTACAAAATCGTTGATCTGCCGATCTTTGTGAAAGATTTTTTTATCCAGTTCGAATGTCCCAAAACGATACTACACGAACTTCGAAGAAGCGGAAATCACGCGTGAGCTCTTCTGACACCCGTCAGCAATCCAAGCGTCTCGCTAGAAAAGACTCGGTTTTTGCGGAGGCCACGAGTTCAAGTTATAGCTTGGACGATCTCCCGCCTTCAGCATCAAAGTTTAAGAAACGAGATATAGAGGCGCTTAATATATCGTTTTGCGGAGCTTCAGGCGAAAAGGACGTTATACCAGACGTTGAAGGTATGAGCTATATTGTGTCAGCAAGCTTTTGACGAACCTATTATTATTGTTTAAATCTTGTTTAGTTACCAACATTCCAGAAGACTATGTTCTCCCTGGTGTTGATGACAAAATTCTCGCAAACCCAAGATTCAATGTTGAAGAGATTGCAGGACTTATGGATGGGGATGTTAAAACTTTCTGTAAAAAGTTGCACATTGTCTTTAGGAATGGACTCGAGCCAGTAGGAACAAGTGAAACCTACACCGACTCGCTTGTAGACGATTTGCTTCGTATCGTTCATTTGAATACCTGGCCTTTAATGATACAGTGAGTATTCGTAGGGAGTCATTATGACAATTATAAAGTTTCAACGATTTTCTAAAGTCATTCCAGAAATCATTTACCATGCAAACTAGTCATCGAGAATGAACTATGTGTGTCATCAGACCCCAAATTTGTCGTGAAGAAGCGGGATTTTGGGCTTATAGTTGTAGAAGTACATAGCGTTTTTTTATCACCTTCTTGTTTTCGCCGACTCACAACTCCCCCCTCCTTTCTTCGAATAGGACAAACATTTGAAAAATCTCAAAAATGCCGGGCAAAGCACCAAATTTGGGGAAACCCAGATCGCTATAGAGATTCTTGCTTGCGGCAGTGAGAATGTGCGTTCCCTTGAAGCAGAAGGATATATTGATTAAACACTCTTGGCTATTCGTGTGATCTCTACATACGTTACTTTTTATAAGGCTGAGATTCCTGCAACGTATTGGACAGAACTTGATGATGGTCTGCCACAAGAACAGTCAATTGAGATTCAAAGATGGCCGCCTGACAATGGTTTAACGATTGGTTTTGATCTTTCTGAACCAGTCGGAAGACGATCGGTATTGACAGCACTAGCCAAAATTCGCGAGTCACTTTTACGGGAAGATGCATAAAAAGGGATTTTCATGGTAGGGTTATTTGGGCATGCTAGGGGAGCAGTTATAGCTTGTCGGACAATTTACTATAACAAAGTAATCCATTTTCGCTCTTAATTCTTTTATGCAACTTATTATTATCTTGATGTGATGGGCTATGGGGTATAATTCGTCCGTTGATTAATTTTCCGTTGAACTCACTAATTACAGAGATCAAATAGCCTGAAGGGTATTTTTGTATCAAGTCGCTTTACAAATTTATGAGTCTTTAGACTCATCCCTGCAAATAAAGAATATGAGATCTCTAGCAATTCAACAAAAAAAAAGTTGTCTATCCAATATTTCTGGCACATAGAGCATGGGACTAGGGATAATCCGTTTCTTCGGAACAAAAATTGGAGACATAATTATGTTTACTACGCTACATCCCGCTGACGTCGCGAGAAGCGGAGCTTCGAGGCTCTGCCTCTCTCGAAATCACAATCCGGGCATTCTGGCAGACAGTAGTAGTAAAGTCTACTTTTCATTAGATTTTATTTGTAATATAACGCAAATATAAAACCATATTGGCTTGTGAGGAGCGATTTCTTTGAGCCATATAGTTGCTATTTATGCGAATTCCGGATCACGTATTAGATTTTTAATTATATGATGTAACAGCATTAGAAGTGCGATACTTTATCTTTCACAGTTACTATTGGAACTCCCCTATGATAAGATTGCCAGCATGCAAGTCGATAGGTTTTTTCACCGAAATATTCGCCATCACCCCCACCGGCCTTGTATATTCTCGTTTTTATGCTCTTTATTGCATGCCGGGCATATTCCTGAACATGCAAAATTGTCGTCGTATTTATCGCTGTGTCTAAAATATAAGTGAGGAAATCGCTCCAGCACCATTTTAGTAACGTGAACTCGTTTTTCTTCTGGGTCATGGAATTTTTTCGCGGATTCAATGGATATAGATGAGTCGGAGATTCGAGACTTTGTCTACATTGTTCTGCGAGTCAGTAAATACATTTTCCCGGATTTCTGGTGAAACCTTTTCAGGCAATACACTTACCTCAGTTTCCGTTAAGATTTGAAATGCGGGTGGTACACTAACTTTGGGATTTATCTCTGAAGATGACTCGCAGAGCGAGGGTCCTTTCGGAATGGCACCACAGCCTGAGTCAGAAGTCCGATCGTTAACATTGTTAATGATTTTTGAAATTACATAATCTATAATGTATTGAATTTGAGGATTAGTCAGTCTTGAAATACTGTCGGCACTGCAGGTAATCCAATTAACCATATGCCATCCTATACCATTAATCTTTTTCAGTTATGGTACGGAATCATATTCACATCCAAATGATCTTTCTAGCCTTACATGTCATTACACGTAAATACCCATCAGAAATACCTGTAAGGTATGGCTTCATTTCATTATAAACCCTATTTCTTGCAAACTTATCAGTGAGGTTGTTATCTTGGGTTCTAAGCTCTATAATTTTATCTTCATATCTTTCAGAATAACGACCCCAAGATAAAATTTCTTTGCGTTTTGCATTGACCGAATTTTCCCTTGCATTACTTGCCTGATAAAATAAATGAGCAAGCTTCTGGAGGCTTATTGATACGGACGTAGGACTGGAGAGTTTTATAGATTCACAAAGTTGAGTATTTTTATATGAAGAGAATTCCCGTAACAAATCTTGAACGAATTGATTTACTAAGGTAAAATTCGTAGTATTTTCCCGGACTTGTTTCGGTTTTGTCACATTACTGATCTTCTTCTTAAGTTTCGAATCCGGGGATTTATTTTCGCAAAGCGACTCACGTCACCTGAACTTTATATCTTTCCAACAGTTTAGACTTAGGCGAACATGTATTTATGTCAGAATTTTCTGGGTGCAAAGCAGATATATTTTTGGTATTGTTTTGCAACTGTTTCTGTTCCAACGTCGCAACTCTGGATCTTAGCTCAACGTTTTCTTTTGCTGATCGTAATTCTGGCATTGAGTTCAGCATCTCTCAACTTCGCATTCTCAGCATTTTTTCCCGCGGATTGTTCTAATTCCACGATTTTAGCCATAAGCTCCGCTTCCTTAGTCAAGTGTTCAGCATTTTTCTTAATGAGCAATTCCCTCTCCCTTCTAAGTTCAGTAACCTCAGCTATAAGCTTAGAATTCTCCTCTTCTAGGCGCAGAGCGCTCTGCAAAGCAGATAAGTTGATTTTAGGTTGTGTGTTTACCATTATTTTTATATGAAATATAGATATGTTCAAAAGTTCATTATTTAGCATAGTAAATTTCGTGGCTAAGTCCGCTGGCGAACTCCTTGGGCTTCTATGATAACCTGATCCAGAGATCAGATCACGTGAATTGGATGCAGCTAACTTCCTCGGCTAACTCCCTCAGCTGACTTCTTCAGCTCTTGAATTAATTATTTTTCTTTGGAAGAAAGTTTATCCATTTGGATATGAAATGACAATGTGTCGCCTGATGACGCGAATGCAAATCGCGCGAATGATGATGCGCAAGTAAATTGCAAAAAAAAAATTTTTTTAATGATTATTTTATTTTATTTACATTTTTTATTAAAATTTTAATTATATTTATCATTATATTAAAAATACGTATTGATTTATTTTGTACAATTATTATGATAAACAAATGCTTTAGGTGTTTGTTTAGAATATCAAAGTAGCTGGGGCAAGTTATAAAGCTCTTTAGCTTATCAAAAACCTCTATCAAGCCAAGGGGAAGGTGTTCGGTCGAAACTGTTGAAATTGGGCAATCCGAATGTACTAGCAACTGTGCAAAATACTGTATATCCGCATAAAATATATGAATGCCTTTTTTTTTTTGTCTCAGTGCTTGCGGAGATCTTCAATAATACATAGGAATTATGTTTAATAACGAATGGATGTAGTCGCTCTCTCGGTGGATATGCTTATTCAGATGAAAGGTGCTGATTCTATAACGCATTTAATCGCTGTATTTACAGCATCTATTGATGCCATTAATCAAGTATTTTCTACGAGAGCATTTTGAAATGGAACAACGGTATGGTTGAAATAGTGATTGAATCCGATCGAGTCTTTAAAAATAATTTGTTAAATTGTTTTGTAATTACAAAAAAAAATATTAAAAGAAATTGAGCAAATCTGTTGCAAATTTTCCAATAAGAAAAAGAATAGTTGATATCTTTCCACCACCAGATCTAGTAATTCCACTCCATTGGTCATTAACTAAAGCAAGTAAAACATATGATCCTATAGCATGTAAACATGTTATAAGGTATATCGTTGCTATCGTAAGGGATACTTTACCCCCACAGAAGCATGTACAAAAGAAGCACATTATTAGAAAAACTGGTATTATATATATTGAAATACAGAATTTTATAATAAAAGCCCTATTTTCTACTGTGTCTTCTAATATATGAACAAATAATCCTGTCATACCTATCCACCCAATAAGTGATAATAAAATTACTGATAATGCACCAAAGAACATGTAAAAACAATTTTTTCCAAATTTTTCTGTATCTTCCATGATATTTTTGATACCATTGTTAAACATACTGAAGCCCCATGAAACTAGGTGTCCGAGTGCGACAAGTAGAATTGCCCAGTTTCCATGACATTTAACACATGTATGAATAACCGGTCCTACAGTGATAACACTCAAAAAAACCACCACAAATAGGTTCTTTGATTCATACGGACTATCATCATCTTTACGCATTTTACACCGCAATAATGAAGTAATACCAAGATTAATATTCATAAGTTTTAAAAAGATTGTTAGAGTTGAAAATGACCAAGAAACTATTCCAAGAATTCCATATGGCAAGCCATAGCAAGACGCATCATCTTTTAATTCACCTAAAAAGATAAAAGTTTTTAATTAGCTAAATAAGTGTTAAAATAATTTTTTATAATTATTGATCAAACTTACCAGACATATTGTTCAGAGATGGTTTTTTTAATTAAGAGAATAAGTAATATCTTCTTCAGTGATGGTTAGCGAAAGTGCCAAGGCGACTTTTAATTGCTCGTCTTCGGAGAACGGGTGGAAAATGCGACAAATTTATAACAAAAATTCAATGCATGCAGTGAGACGTTATGCATAAGTACAAGTGCGTCTCGATATAACGACACTGCTATATAACGACATCTCGTTATACTGACAAAAACCTGGAACAAAAAATCTATATAATGAAATTTATTCGATGTAACGACATTATATATAAATTTTCGTTATAACGGTATAACGACATTTTTTGGGAAAGGCTTATTGGACAAATCTTAATAAAGTATCGGGATATACCGACATTTAATATAACGACAGTCGTTGGACGCAAATTTGAGTGACACACATCTCCTTTTTTGTTTATTAAGCTCCCATTTTAAGTTTTCATTAATATTAATACAATACTTATCTCGTTCGTTTGCTTAATCATAAGAATTAATTCTTAATGACATTAACAAAGCAGAAAAGGTAAGCAGAAAATCTATCATTTTAAAGGCTTATATTCAACAACAAAGCGAATTGAACCTTCCTAAACGAGTTAACTAGTTTTTAGCAGTGCAAGAAATAAACTCAAAAAAAAAACCCCCCCCGAAGATTGATAGATTTTTTTAATCCTTGTAATGACGCTCAAATTTATCCAATAAAATTGATTTTTTTTTGTATAACGACAATTGGTTGAACTTGCTTTGTTGTCGTTATAAAGTTAAGGTCTCGATATAAGGGCATTTTAATTTTTGATATAACGACCATTTAGGTTGGAACCGAGCGTGTCGTTATATCGAGACGCACTTATACTACTACGCATCCAAGTAAGGGTACCCACGTAACAACAATGGGGAAATGCGATTTTAATTTAATAACAGGGCGATCCTCGATTTGGTGTTTCGACTAGTCGTTTCGTCACTTGTATCTCTGAACTAACTAATAACTAATTCTAATTCGATCTGAAATAAACAAAATAATCGCCCTTGCATCGTCTTCGGCTTGTGCTCTGCTGTGTTGTAAAAATACAAGCACGTTTTTTCAGGCGCCCAACGATCAGAGGTAGGTAGGTACTCGAACTGGATCTCATGTCTGATTCGCATTCACATAATAATAACGCAGCCATTTTGCAATTTTGTTCGCCGCTGATAGTTTCATCCAGCCGACTATGCCATTTAGCAACAGGCCTGGATTTCGCATCCGTTGATGTGGGCTGTGCGGGAATTCCACTTTGCTTTGGTTGACTTATATGTAGAGCGAAAATCAACAAGTTTTCACGACACCAAATGAGGCCGAGGAGAATGCTTAGTAAGTCAGTGATGTCATTATGTCATGTGATATTGCAATAGTCGACAGTGCATTATCGTCTGCATAGTATTTTACGTTCGTCGATGTCGATGATAATGCACTATCGTCTGTATATCCGTTTACGTTCGTCGATGTCGATGATAATCGTCTACTTCTGTCGCCAACGTTTGAGTGTCGCCGAGTAGAATAACAGAAACGTTAGTATTAGGTTATTTGTTTTATTGTTACTGTAAGATTACACGTTGGCACAAAATCGAGTTTTTGTACAAATTGAACAAATCAAGTTTGTGAAATGCTATAATAATAACGGACTGGTTAATATAAAATTCCTACCAAGACACAGCGACACTATTGCAGAAACGTAAATGCGAAGTATAAGAAAGGCCAGAATGAGAAATCAAAGAGTGAGAGAGTGAGAAATCAAAGAGTGAGAGAGTGAGAAAGTAATTGTGAAATAGCAAAGAGAAAGAGGTAAGCAAAAGAGAGTGGTAAGCAAGCGAGAGACTGAAAGTATGACTGAAAGAAGTGAGAGAATGATTGAAAGGCACGAAAGAGTGAGAACTTAAGGGAGCAATTGAAAGAATGCGAGAGAGAAGTGGTTTCGACGGCGATAAAGCACATATTAATATGTGAATGCCTTCCTTCCGATTGGTTTTTCAAGACTCGACTGTATTTTTATGTTATGGAATAAAAAAAATAACATCAAATGATCATCCATGTAATTATAATGATTACAATAATGAAAATGTTACGTACGAAAATTTGCATTGCAACAAAATTGGTTTATATTTCATATATACGATGGACAAAAGCATGGAAAACCGCAGGAATAAGGTAAAATGACACTATAATTTTTTTGAAAGCATTGTATAAAGCGCAGACGTTTCAAAAATGAATACAAACATCAAGCATTAGTTAGAAGAAGTAAAAAAAATTTTGAACGAAATGAAACAAATTAATTAAACAGGAAAATATAGAGCAAAGATAAAAAATTTTTTGTTTAAAAAGAATATGGATACGGAGGCGAAAATTGAGAGCCCGTTCAAGTTCAAGTCCAAGTTCAAGTCCTAGTTCTAGAACTAGATCTATACCGGACTTTGCACATAGCAAAATACGAAATATAATTAGCGCCTTTCCTAAAGCATGACAGCTCAGTGTACAAAAAAATAATAAACAGATCTTAGTCTTTTATGGAAAAGGTACAGTAGAACATGAATATATTTATAACGTCGGGACCAGAGGCTTTATAAATATATACAGGTTATAAGTTTATAAAAGTTTTAATTGAAAATTACGTGTTATTTATTTGACCAACCAGAACGTATTATTATATTAAAAAAGACATACAGTATGCTATCACTGCTTTTCTGCGAGGGTAATAAAGTCCTTTGTTATATTATTATATGTGTTCCTTTGATGCTCAGTTAAGTCTATTATACATGTGGCTGCGATGGTCGATAATACATTGATGAATTTTTTGATGATGAAGAATTTATTCAGCAATCCATAGATCAACAAGAACCTTTGAACGAGAATCTGGATGAGCAGGATGATAGCAATCCCCGGCTTAACGTATCAATTAAAGAAATGAAGGATAGTTTGTATTTAGTAGAACCATTCTGGCTTCAACAAACGGAAAATCAGACTTTTTGAATGTTGTATCTAAAATGAAAAATGGAGTGCGATTTATAGAGCTTCAAAATCTACGACAAACAAATTTGTTAGAATTTTTTAGGGGTTGAAAATTCACCAATCAGATTTAGCAATTAAGCGAATCTGATTAGTCATATAAGTTTATGCGTCAAACGGGATTTAAAATTTTATAAGTTATAACCCTAAGCCCCGACTCGGGACCAGAAAATTTAATAAATATAAGGTTATAATTTTATTCAGTATAATTATATACAGGTTCTACTGTAGATTGTCCGACTACAAGTATAAGGGTGCTAAAAATGATCGGCAAATGATCGACAAAAAACCTTCATTTTTCCCCTATGTTTGCACCATTTGCACTATTTGCACTACTACCGACCCCAATGATGTCTACGTTCACAACGTATTCTTTTAAAAACGACTCCAATGCAATCTGTCTTTTTCCTATTTCTACAATTTTCGCGTCGGTCGAAAGATCGTTTGGTAAGGAGCCTGTGAATAGACTATTGTACTCTAGTCCGTCGTAAAGGCGAGATCTAACTTTGTTGCGACAACACGGCAGATTTTGGGTCAGACCCCATGGCTTCATTGAATTTGCGCCTGTAAAGAAAAGAAGTTTGAACGATATAGTATGTAACAAAATACGTATGCTTGACAGAAAGAAAGAGCATTATCAAGGGAGGGGAAAAAATCTGTTCACATACCGAATAAGCATATGTAGATAGCCAGTGCAACAGAGTGCATACCACCCACAGCGCTAAGTATATCAATTATTGACAAATTGCTAGTATTAAGGAATAACATAAATTAGCAAACAGATGTTCAATAACATTAACAACGGTTTCCATTTTATGGAGCCCATGTATACTCACGAGATTTCAGTTTCTGTTATGACTATATAGGATTTAGGGCCTATGTTTATCGTTGCGTAAACTGTGTTGCTGTTGCTGGGGTATGGCACTAGAAGCAAAATGTTTGATTTATATGTAGTTTTTCATTAAAAGCAAATGTTATTCTAGCTACCAAGTTCGCCGTCTATCAATGGTAGACGTGCATGTTGGCCGTTTCCAGAAAGTACGTTTCTAGCACTTTGAATAAGTGGGTTGGATATTCTGCGTTCGTAATTGTATGAGTACGACTAATTACGTGTGGAGTTGTTATCATTAGCATATTGTGGAACTGAAGATCTAATATACTGTATGTTCATTGATTGACACATGTGAGAATCCGTTTACCTGGTTACTAGAAAGGGTAAAATAGTTATCCTCGTATATTGTAGCCCAGTAACTAGAAATATCCTTTAGATTCTTGGATTTTGCCGAATTATAATCAGACAACGCCTCTAAGAGTTTTAGATCGGAATTTTTTTTGTTGGTTTCGCTCATGTAACTTGTGCGAAATACATTAGCTGTATACGTACCTTTGTCAATAGTCCACATAACCAGATTAGCATCACTGCCGCTAGTAAAATTTTGATCCACTATAGTGACAGTAAACACGACGCTGATTATCTCATCGTTTGTTTTGTTGAAAGGGTCAACAAATTCCAAGTCATATGCATCGAACTTCTTAGAGAAATCGAACTCAGTGGTTTGGCTGACATATTGACTACAATTACGATCCGCTAAAATATCAATTGACAGACATACCGCGCGTGTATCAATATTGGTTAATTAGCGAATGGCAAATAAAATCATTGTTATCGTTGTGTTTATACATACGAGTATCTCCAAAAAAAGATGTCGCACAGCTGACAGTGTAGGAAAAGTCAGAAGAAAAGTAGACGACTAGAAAAGATAATGGTAATCAATATTAATTCAAAATAAGGTTTAAATCGTTTGCAGAAATGTCGCTTACTTGGAGGAGGAATAGTGGCTTTATATTCTTTCTGATATGTTAGTGTCCTTTCATCTTTATGCAGTTTATATACTTTCCAAACAAAAAAAATTGCTACACCTATGTAACAAAGCAAGAAAAGTAGCACGCTAAACGTTCTGAGGGTAGGGGGGTCAGAACGACGTAAAGGAAATTTCTTAGTAAAATTTTTTATTGATTGCATTATAGTGGCAGACTCTTTTGCTATGCAACGAGTGAGTTGACTATCCGGAGGTATTTATACAGTAATGTGCAAAAGAAAACCGACAATGTTTTTATCACAAGATTAATAGTGTAACTTCGACAGGGCATACAAACGGCTGCTGAACAGTCTATTTATAAGTCTATTTAAATGATCAAAAAAAAAAAAACAAAAACGGTTATGTGTGGGCAACGGCGTAGTGGGTACTCAAAAGTCTCCGACCACCCTTTAAAATTTTCGTGAACCACTGGTAACTTTAATTTTTTTTCTTGGCATCAGCCTATTTCGGAATTTACCTGCCATGTCGCACAACCTGCCAGGTCGTGCAGGCTCCCTTAATTGGACACTCAGATGGATTTTCCTCCATAAATAGAAATATTATGACTGTACGACGTGTCGATTTGTGCGACCTGGCAGGTAAATTCCTGATAATCTATTTCTAGCGTGGAAATTTTTTCTGTACTACATGTCCAACTCTTATGATTCACAAACTTCCGAGTTTACCTTAATTAAACTTAATATGTGTATCAATATACTGCCAAATCCGATCTATTGATAATCTGTACTACAACTTGATACGGAAAAAAAGGGTTGTTTTTGGTCTTTGAGAAAAAAAGTCAATTGTAAGATTTCACGCCTTGATAAAAGGTTATTTCTTCAACCATTTGATGGTTTAAGTTAAGCCTTTACAAAGCTATCTGCTTTGCGGAGCTTTATATTCATATTTTTGTACACGGCATAATGACAGAACGTTATTATTATGCACCGCGCCAACTGCAATTGTGTCTAAGATGCTAGAACCGAATCCTTTGGCCAATAAACGATAGCTTGCAAATATTTTTTTAAAATAATATTACATAATAGCGCATTTTGTGGTTTATGCTAAGAAGTTTATCAACAGAAAAACAAAGCAAGTCAACTTTATTGTTATTGGATATCGCTTGCATAAAAACAATTGCAGATAATTTTCCTTGGTAATAAAGCTATCTATATAGGTAAAAGGGAATTTACCTGCCAGGTCGTACAGGCTCAAACATTATCCCTTCATTGGACACTCAGATTGCTTCTCCTCCATAAATAGAAATATCATGGTCTGTACGACGTGTCGGGTTGTGCGACCTGGCAGGTAAATTCCTGATAATGTAAAAGATTATCTTCTGACCATCTGTGTAAATGCATAAAGGCATTGATGCATACCATTTTAATGGGACTAAGTATTACAAACAAACATAGGGCAAGCCCCTTAGAATCGAGTACAACTTTATTGCAAGACGGGCAAGCCCCTTAGAAGATTACATATAAACTAGACAAGAAAATAGTGAGATATCAGATATTATAGACTATATAATTACTAATCGCGCTTCTTTGCTTTCACCACATATATAGTCGTTTTATCATGTGCTTTAGCACTAGCTCTGCTATTGGAACCAGGTTCATCATTGGATTCAGATTCCATCCAGAACTCCTCATCCGAGGAATAATTATGGATGGCTTTTTTCTTTTTTATTGCAGAGCAGGCCGTTAGGCGGTTCAAAGAATCATGGCTCTTCGAATATACAGATATGTCATTATCATGTCGTTTTTTGGGAATATCTGGGTTTGCTATCGAGTTAATGATTTCCTGCCCTGCCGAATCTCAGGTTTTACTATCTTCAATAATTGGCGGAGAGAAATCGAAATCTTTCTACGTGATATTTGTTTAACGAATTTAGATACTATTTTCGGGATATTATTGCCAGAGGTAACTGTTTCACAACCATTTTTAACCATTGGATTTAACTTAGTTTTTATTAATACGCCACAAAAAATATAATATTAAATATATTAATATATTTTTGAAAATAAACAATGCGAGGATCTTATTCAGAATATGGGTTAAGGGATACTATTAATTGGTTGGGGCCATATCCAAGCTCTCCAGTTTCTGAACCTGCAATGTCCCTGCTCCCACTCAATGTGATTCATCTATTGATGAATATTTTGAAATGATAAAGACATATGAAACAGGAGGGAGATTCGATAATGAAATATTACATGAAAGTAAAAAATATGGTAAATTAGCTGGATATAATGAAGAACATCTTAAACATCAATTCCTTCGTGGGTTAGATTCGGAAAACCAAGTGAAAGCTAGAATATGCGGATTAGATCTGTCATTAGAAGAGTTGATAGGGAGATTGAGTATAATTAAGGATACAGTCAACTCTGTCTATACCAGCATTGTCTATACCGGTTTTGCCTTTATACCGGTCCAATTTCGCTGAACCAAAAAATTCCATATTAATCTCACGGCAGATCTTAATAACTCTGTTTATACCAGCTTCGGCACAAGTTACACAGAATCATGTAGACCAGTTTACTTTAAATTATATAAAAAGATTTACTTTATACCGGCGAAGTCAAGTGATTATGTAATATAATTGTCATGGTTGATGCTGAAATCTGGCTAAAGCTGAAACCGGGACCTTTCATTGGTTGATCAGATTTTATTATCTAACCCCATAAATTACTAATAAATGCAGCCAACCCTTTAATTATTACCATGCCACGCAAGAGAATCTCTGCCAAAAATTTTAATACAGACAGAGAGACACCTAAACGCATTAGAACTTCATTAACAGGGTTGCAGAAAAAAGAAATTTGTCAAATTAATCTAAAAAATCCTTCCTTTGCTAATGCAGAAATCGCTGAATTGTTTGGTTGCGGTACTTATACTAGCACCGTTGGTGATGTTATCCGTGAAAGCGGAAAGTGGCTTGCAATAAATGAAGACGATCATGCTGCTCAACTTCGCAAGAATCGACAACCAAAATGGCCTGCACTTGAACAAGCGATGACTGCATGATTAGAAAAAAGAAAAGATAAATTATTTGAAACTCAATAATAATAATAACGTACAATTATTAATTATTGGTTGCACGATTTCCTCTTGTGTAACAGTTTTCTATACCGGTCTCTCGTTATTATTATAACGGCCGAAACTGCCAAAACATACTCGTGCCGGTATAGGCAGAGTTGACTGTATATAATTCCGGGAATTACATAGCAGATAGTGACGCAAATTATATACAACATATACATCGCCGGTATAAACAGAGTTGACTATCTTCGCTTCTTGTCCGTCGATACTCCCGTGGCATTACGATAAATATTTGTTTAGCTAGAAACGCGTGCAGACCTGTGGTTTGTATTATACACAATCGCAGCCACGGATCTGCTGATAATTTAATATTTTAGAACGGTCGAAGTGCGATTTCGGTTATTCCTACTTGTTACCACAAACAGCGAGATATGGAGCTTCAGAAGGTTGTCAACAAGATCGTAGAAGCAAACCCAAACGTAAGCTGTCCAGTACAAGCTTGTTTCTCTGAACTTGCAAAACTGTTAAGCGCAATGGCAGCACAGTCGGTGCTTCTCAATCCGAAGAGAGGTTTACATTGCCATAACCCATCGCGTAAGGCTTCGGTCGCACAGTTTGCAAGGGTTGGTTAAGCGCATTGGTAGCACAGTCGGTGCTTCTCAATCCCAAAGAGAGGTTTACACTGCCATAACCCATTGCGTAAGGCTTCGGTCGCATCAACTTTCCTCAGAGTGCAAACTTCCGCCACTATCATGTCATGTTCTGCTGTATGAAACGCTCTGCTAAGTAATCTTTTTGCTCTTTTATTACATACATCCCAAGCTTTCCTGTCAGATCCGTTTGAAGTCCCTGAAGGGGCGGAAATGGACAGCAGACAGAACTTGGCGCAAGTGGCTAGAGCTATAGGAAGTACTTCGAATAATTGTGATCTTATCTTTGCAGGTTCCAATAGATAAATAATTTGAAACGACAATGATTCAATATACTGTATCGGCAAAGTGCTGATGGATTTCTAAATTCCTTTTCAAATTTTCAAATGTTTATAACAATTTTTTTAATGCTCTATAATGATAATCAAATAGTGTCAACAAAGTCATTAATGTCCCTGGCAACGTCTTGTTCATCGATAATGTTGAGCGAGGCTGGATTGTCATTAAAGTGTCACCGTTCTAGAAGCCACGTTTATAAATCGAGTCCGATTCAATTAATATTTTAATGTTTTAAATTGTGTAATTATTTATTCGTTGTAAACTGGGATTGAGCACGATATATAGAGCCCATTAATGAGCGTCTCGTCCGTGATGGTAACACCACTAATAAAAACCGGATGAAAGCTGACATGGTTGGCGTTCGGCTTTGTGACAACCGGTAAATAGTGTTTTTAGAAATGAGTACGGCACACGGACTTTCTACAACCACGGACGATTCAGGGACGAATTGATGCGGTCAATTCGTTACTATTGAATTTTTTTAGATTATGATGTGCGATATGCAGGGAGATCCGTTTCTGACCATTCAAGGAATAAGCGAGTATAATCTTTAGTTGATAATTATTCAGATAATGGCAAGATTCAACTTTGTACTTCTAGGAGATCGGCTTACACTACGATCAATTTTTTTAAGAGGGAAGGAGGATTACGTTGACTTTATCGGCAGTATTCCCACTTAGTTGGGAGTTCCGCTTCGCATTGGGACGAAAGTTTGTCACTTATAAATAGACTTAGATTGTTCCCAATTTTTTAAGTACACATATCTTTTCCCATATATCGAAATCCTTTGTTCAGTTTAGTAAAACGATGGAAGATATATAAGCAGTCGTAGTTTTCCGCGATGAACATTATCTCAGCATTATTTGTCCTTTGGAATAGTTCTTTATATTCTAATAAACAAAGTATTATGAATATTAAATTTATTCGAATCGGCAAATTCGAACTTGCCATCGAATTTGTAGGACTTAAGCTTCTGACTTGAATCCATCAGAAAATATTCGATGTAGTACTCGAGGTTGGATAATAATCTAGAGCAAGCGTATAAAAGACTGGTGAGTATCTGAAAACCAAACAAAGGTTCCGCACGCACCTTAATAGTACTGATAAATTTATTTGTAATATATATGTAATAGCTCGATTTTTCTACATGTTTATATCTTTTCTCGTTACATTTTACAATGGCATCTGCAGGATCGTAAACAACGTTATTTATAATGTTCAAATAAACACTAATATGAATCTTCGGGTCGAAAATATGGCAACAGGGGGTCTGGCAAGAATATACTTAACAGACGCGACGGTAAATTTTTAGTAAATTATAGCCTACGCCTATCTGCACTGTAAACTCACTTTTATCCTTGCTATTCTATCAATAGTACCCCTCGACAGAAGCAATCCAATCGCTCCACTTCTGCTTGCATGGAAGTGGAGTTGGACTAGTTTTTCAATAGGATATTTAATATAATACTGGTCTTTGGAGCCAGTTTTCTCCCCCAATACTCCACACGAATTCAGTAGCTCTAATGAGTATAATAAATGCAAATGTGAAGGTGTGAACACTTCTTAGTGTGGTGATAATGCGCCGAATGCGCATGCATGTGATTGGATTTGTAGCTCAGGACAATGAGGCACTTTTTAAATGACAATATGCTGTAAAATCTATTCGCTACTTTTATAGGTTATGCGCTGTATTGCCCAGCTACAGGGCTTGACATTTAAAGATTACTATTACAAACGTTCTGCAGCGAAGATAGTAACACACGTATATTATATGATAAAAATTACAAGAAAGCTCTTCATTACTAATTATTAAATGTAGGCTGTAGTTGCCAATATGTCTAAAGAAGATTTTCCAATATTGCCAGGAACTATTTAAGCGATATTTTAACATGGAATTTTGCGTTCTTTATTTGTTTGATATTTTAACATGGGGTATTAGTATTGTGAGAAACCACATTCTTTAGTAGTTGAGCCCCTGAAATATTTGCATGGTGTTATTATTCTGGTGGACATACCGCAAATCAGTTCAATTCACACGATCACAAGGTTAGCTCGGAGATGTTATTAATATCAATATTAACGCTGAAACTATAATTCGTTGGGTTTGCAAATGGAGCTTTTGAGATCTCAATAGAAGCATTAGCTAGAGCAATTATTTGACAAAATTAGAAAAAGATATTCTTATCTTACCAAAGGTGAACAAGAGGGCAAAGTGCTGTCAAAAATGTCGACTAAGGAATCAACAGGTGCGACAACAGCGGCAGCAACAAAAACACCAATAACAGAAACAACAACACCAATAACAAAAAGAGCAACAACAGCAACGGCAAAGACTACAAAAACAACAGCTTCTATAGCTGCAATCACAACAACCACAACAGCAGCAACAGCGATAACGACAAAAATAATGGATACTTTTTCTCTAAATGAGCCTATTTCATCACAACAGACACTTAAATTAAAAATACTGAATCATTATCCTGTCCGACTTTTAACTTTGTTCTTCCTTGGGGCTCTGACGTCGTTCATCATTGACCACTTACTTACCCAGAACCATATTACCGAGTACCCCAAGAATATAGTCAAATTGATTGACACTGCTGCGTGGATACCACCCACGTGCGGTGCTTCAGCAGCTTTGGTTGGATCTTTATTTCCGTTGGTTGATTATTGGTATTTACGACGCCCACACGAGTTTCAGAAAGAATGGAGCGACGTTATGAGGTAATGAACACCCAATTTGCAGGTGTTAGACTGATTGGAAAGAAGGCTGGTAGTGCGCATGATTAGATAATTATCTAATTTCGAGGCTAGATAAATAGCTTCTTTTATCTTGGGGTATAAGGGTCGATAGAACGTGATGATTATTCAGAGTCACCAGCAAACGGAAGAATTAACATGAAGCCAAATTATTATTATTATAGCTAACTCAACAATCTTCCCTCATTGGCTTTTCCTAGATGCCTCGGTGGGTTCATCGGAGTAGCATATGCGGCGACGGTACATTTGCTATTTAATCCTTTTACTCATGCGATAATCCCATTTATTCCCCAAACTGACAATACCGATCAACTTCAGAAACTCCCATGGAATGGTAATTATCAAGTATCCCTAACACTCGCGCTGATGTCGGTTGTATTGTGGTTCCTATTTGATCGAACGTGGCACGGACTTTTTATGTCTGTGTTGTTCTCTTCAATAGGGACCATGGTTATGTATTTGATGGTTTTGAATGGAGTTTATAGGTGAGTGATGTTTGATGGAAGGGTCTTATAGTTTGGGCAGGCATCTATTGAACGAAATGAATCAAGGACTATTTTATGGGTGACATATTGGGGATTAATCATGGGTAAGTGGCAAAAGGTCATGAAACGCGATTGAAAGAAAGTTGTCAACCAAGACGACACGTTACATTTTCTTTAACTCTGTAATGCCAATTTAGTTCATCGAAGTTATTCTCGACCTTTAGTGATGCCTTATCAACTAGCTTACAATTGCAAGGATCGTAGAGACACGACGTTCCCCGTTATTTCTATTGCATTTTTAAAGAAACGTCTCACAGATTACTATACTCGACTTGCTAACCAAAACCTCCCTATGTGCAGTTTTACACAAGCTGACTTTTTCGGAGTTAGGTCGTGGACTCCGGTATGTATGTTCGTTCCAAAACTTCTCTTTTTGTTGGTATCCAATGTACTACACTCAATCCCGCGTGATATATGCTTTTTTCGTTTGCCATTTATTGTAGTGTATCCTGTTCTCATCTTGTGTATGTTTCGGTACCATTGGCCGACAGTTGGGAATAGTACCGAAGGAGCTATTTGAGAAGAATGAATGACGAGCACGCTTAATGTGCGGAAAGAAGAGTAATGGGCTGTATAGTATAGAGTAGTAATCAAATAATAGTGGGTACAAAAAGGATAGAAGATAGATTGGCTGCAACAAGAGTTAGAATGCGTGACGGCTTTTAGGTGAATTATATACTTTTAAGAACAATCGTTGACCTCATTCGGAATTTATTTGTCTGAGAGAGGTAAATGTGTTTCTTCTTTCGACAAACCAAATAAATTTGTGTGCCATTAAGGTTACGAAAGTATTCTCTAGCATTGCGTGTTTATTTCTCAGATATCTTATCGATGTGTTTGTAAATTCTTAGTCCGACTCAATAAATCCAAGCTTACCGCGTCGTGGGAATGTTTATGCGATCTGTCGATCTCCAGTGACCCAAAACCATGGAGCATAAGACGTCAGTCAGTGATTATTCATAGCAAGGTTTCGTTTACATAGAATAGCCGTTCTCATCTTATGAATTCATTATATCAGTCGCTTCTAACAGCTTTTTTTATCCTCTTGACTGCACTATGCTTCTATTTGAACCGCATACTTGTCGACAAGCGGAAATTACAGAGAACAAACGCCCTCCTAAAGAGACTATATTCTAGTAATTTAGTGTATGCGCAACTGGAACGTCAAATTCATACTCTAAAGTCTGTGATCGAAGACTATCCGTGGATACCAGAGTCAGAAGATGGTTGCGATAACAATGGTAATAACAACTGTTTCAGTAATAACGCGCGCACGAAAACTGCCGAAACAGTAGTGATTAAATCTGAAGAAGAACCAGACTCAACGAGAGCTGTTGAAACAAAAGTCGAAAGAATGAATGGGCAATGGGACCAAACAGATAGTATAATCACAAGTATGGGTGGATGCACTATTACGAGCGAGAAACCCACGAAGAACGTAAACGGAATGTCGTCTATCGATGACGGTGTTGGGCTAGCGACATTACGCGAAGCATGCGAGATGCTAGTGACTGGAGAAATCATATTGAAACACTTGGAGAAACAGCAACAGGCAGCGAGAGTTGATTTATTAAAGGATGGTGTATACACCGAATGTTCTCAGCAGGTCATTTAAGCGAACATGAGAACGATCGCAAGCGGACAATTCCTATTGTAATGACTAAAGTTGTAATAGGAACATATCCAAACGTATCAATAGCATTATTTGTAAGTACAACTTAATAAAGTTGCGGTCAAAGTTCGTCTACTGTGGATAGAAATTAGTATTTTCTTTTCTCATGCCATAACTTTTGTGCTATGATATACAACAAGGTTACTTAATTGCATCGTAATCGTGACATGTATTAAAGACAACAGCACATTATCCTTTAACCTCTATACTTCTGTAACAATTCGTCAACTGCTTTCTCGCTCGGCAGAACATTATGTTAATCACGTACAAATCTTCAAGAGACTGCCTCAACGTGATATATAAAATAATAAACTAAACGTTTTTAGAACACGAAATGTAAATTAAACAGGTCCAAGCTAGATTTGTAATATACGTCCATAATTTGTCATCCCGCTGACTTTCAGTTCCTTTTATTTGGGGGATCACCAATGCTTCTAACCGTAACAAGAGCTCTTACTTTTTCTCGGCGCGGCATATTAGTTAAAATGTTTAGAAACCCGAGGACAATAGTTGATTAAACGTGTTTAGCACAAAACCATTTTATTACCAAGCATGATCGAGGTTCATGTTACTTTTTAAATCCTCACCCCGATATTTATACTGCCCAGCATACAGAGGAGGACATTGAGCATGAAGAGAGATGATTTGCTTTCCAGTAATTGTGCTATTTATATTATTGTTTTCTACTACAATCTTATTCTATGACATGTATAATTTATCCAACAATGAGAATTTATTTGGCAAGAACTTATGAGCACCTACCTCCCCTTTAACTTACCTGCCCACCAAATCTGTCAGGGGAGGTAAGCTGATGAAAATGCGTGGGAAATAGATATTCACTTTTTGGTCAATACGGGATCGTTCTTATTGTTAGAACTGTTGGCATAATACACGTGCCTTCCATTAATTTAATACAGATTTATTAATAAATTAGCACGAAAGAAATCAAATAATAGAATTAATTAATTAAGTGCTACTATAAATACAAACATGCAATCCCAGAAGAAATGAAGTATACTATGTACAATATAGAGGCAAACTGCCGCGACTTCATCAATTAAACAACGAACCAGCTACATATTCAACGATTAATTCGGATTTCATTAGTTCCTTAATTGACAGGTAATAACATTCTATCACTTCCATTCTTCTCATACCATCTCCTCACGTCTTCATACATCGACTCATTATCAATTTCTCCAGATTCAACGTTAGAATCACCTATTTCCCCACCATCTTCCATTTCGTCATCGCTAGGCGCTAATTCTCCAGATCTCATTCTGAGAGTATGTAATTGTCCCATTAATCCATCTACCACAGCCCTATCCACGTTGTCATTACGTGACGCTTCGTGTATTTCGCACTCGATCTCCCCCAAAATTTCTCCAAGTACTTGATCAGGGAACATCTGACCATATGTAGCTCCAAAGAAATGTGACAACTTGCGTATTCCTCGCATTCGAGATTGCTTAGAGTGCAAATATCGAGATTGAAGCGGAGATTCGGAGTGAGGAGACGATGGGGCTGAGATTGCCTGTCTGTCGAAATTTGCGGCCGAGTTTATAGCATTAGGGGACGATGTGAAATCATCTTCGTCACTTTCAGCCATGTAATCTATTAGCTCATACACTGCCTCCTTGTCGTTGTCCATCAAATAACCCAGTGACACGATACTCAGTCTATGCATATCTAAATTAGCGCTGCTATCGTGCCCAGGATTCGTTGTAGGGTTATGTTTAAAGAGGTTTTGTGGTGGGATTTCTCCAAAGACCTTCTCCAACTTGACTGCACGTTGCAAATGACGCTTCTTATCTGCAGCAGACAATTTATTAGGAACATTCTCTTGCAAAGGCTGATCAGCTACATTTTCCGATGAAGGATGTTTAGAACGCGAATATTGTGTCCAGCCATTTTTACGTCTTGCTTTCTGTGATGAATCTTCTTTCTCCAACTCTTCGGCCTCTCCTCCGAGAACTACATGCACAGGCACTTTCTCTCCTAGAAAGTGATACAACTTCTGCAACTTCTTCCGTCTATACTCCTTAGAATCCTTATTAACAATGATCAATGGAACCTCGGACATACTAAAGGTAGCAGAATCAATACTTCCCGATCGAGGTCTTGAGTACATGGATGGTACTGGTGGAAGAGGGGAAGGTAACAAAGATGAATTACTGGTGATTGATAATGAGGGCGAGGGCGGCATAGGATCAGACGCTCGACGAGGAATGCGGCGCACGTAAGATAAGGTGCCATCTGAATTTCGAGCAGGATAGTCGTATACAGGAAGATTGGTAGGCGAATACTGTTTCCCTCGAGGTGAGCTAGCAGAATTTATTGCTGGTAGAGTAAGCGACTGCCATACTACATTTTCATCTAGTGGCTGTCCCAAAACTACTTGGAGCTTCCTCGTCTTTTTCCATAGCATTCGTCGTTCTTTGGGACTTAACTCGTTAGGTGATTTGAGATTTCTTTCCACTTCCTGGTCGGCCGATTTCTCTTTCAACACCTTCTCTCCGTTTGCATTTCCATTTTTCTTCAAAATATTCTGGGAAATCAACTGGGAACCTCTTAGCTCTCTTCCAAAGATGGATTCCAGCTTCTCAACTTTCTTTTTCCTGTTCCATACGTCCTTTGTAGTCTTTCGAGAAGTCTCTGAAACCATTGAAACTACACTACTTCTATTGTCGTGTTCCACCAAGTCATTGTTGGGCATGATAACAATTTGTCCGTCTAAACGAGAGACCTTCTCGCCGAATACCCATTGGAGTTTACGTTCCTTTTTAATGCGACGCATACGCTGAGCAGACGTCATGCGATTTTCAGAGTTAAAGTAACCTTCAACGGCATGCGGTGGAACAGACGAAGCCGGTCGGTCCTGTCGTTTAGTCACATTGTTTAGGATTGTTTCAGGGAAATATTGAGAGAGCATGGAGTGAAGCGTCTGTTCTTTGTAGTGATGAGATATAGGAGTGGCATCTAGACCATAGTCGAGTGCCATTGTAACTGCTAACATGAGCGACATATTGGGCTTGAAATATCTGTCGATCGATCCGGTCATTTCGTGGGAAGCGTAGCATTCGGGGTCTATAATGTTGAATTAAATAATAAGCAGGCCAAAAAAAATTTTTTTTATTAGTATCCACTAATAATCAACTATATCTTTTCATTATCATCATTCTCATTTGCCAACTTTCGCTATTCACTCAATACATACCTTCATTTCTGATCTTCTCACAAGTTTTCCATTCTTCACTCTCCTCAAACCTAACAAAAGTGTGCCCCTTCATCAACTGATAAACTGCTTCCTGTGCTTCATCGAACATCCGCCTATCTACAACGCAGTCATCATCCAAAGGCCATGGTACCGCTCTCTTTATCTCATCACTAAGATTCACTTGCAATGGTGCATGCGAATGCACGTAAGTCAGATAAATGTACTTTGCGTGTATCACTGCAGTCTGATTCTCATCAAAATAGTTATCTTCATTCGTGCCAGAGACACCAGCTGCGAAAAGCTCCACGTCAAGCCAGAATAAGAGGTTTTCGACAGAGTATTCGCGGACAGTGAATTTCTGAAAGAAAGTCATTGCAAGAGTATTGGATAGAATTGCGCGGAGACGCTGGTCGGATTGTGATAAAATTTTCTGGATTTGGTTTTGAATTAGTGGTTGTGGGTTAGCTGCTTCCCTCATGACTGTGTCTGCAGCTGCATCTTCGTGCCTAATTTGACGATTATGTTGCAGTAAAAATTGTGAAGACTGTGAATCATGTACAGACGGGATATCTTGTTCACAGCCGTAATCAGCTTGGTTATAAATGCTTTCGTCTTCCGAATCTTCCACGCTCGAATTTCGTTGGTAGTCTAATTGATGGATAAACGCAAAAAGCATGTTAATAAATGTGATGGCAAACCCGTAACAACTATATCGTTATTAGTAGCACTTGAAATAACTACTATTGAATATTATTTATTGCTAAACGACGACAACAACCCCAAATGATTATCGACCTACCTTCATCGTAGACGTTGAGCACGTTAACCACGTCCCCATGTTCCAAAACATCACCAACAGTATCTCTAAACTTCAAAGCCAACATTCCTACATCATATAACAATCCCACTTCCAATGGCTCGTAACAATTCTGATCTATTCCCGAAAATTTAAATGCATATTCAGCTTCGATCTGCCTGGCCAATCGTTCAATTGACAATGATTTGTCGATTGTAAGTGGAAATGATACGTATGGTGGAATGTTTACGCCTATTTGAATGAAGGAAGATATACTCTTCATTGTACGGGAGAAGCCTCGTTTGTGAATTTGGGGATGTGATTGCATGGGGTTCGGCAAGACGGGTGAGTTGTTATTGGTTTTACGAGTGTCGTTAGTAGCGCTCTCGATATTAGCTACAGTAGCAGAGCGAGTGTGTTTGTTGCGGTTACTTCCGCTACTGTTTTTTCTTATGCTTAAGCTCCCAGAGTGATGGTGAGATGAGTTTGTTGTATTATCGATTCTTGGATTGTAGAGAATAAAGCCAGTGTGTAAAGTAACGTCCTGGTTGTCCCGTGACTGTAATGAGCGATGGGCGGTAAGTTGGTGGTTGGGACGTTTAACAGAAGGATGTTGACCGTTAGTGAAAGGGTGAGTGGATTCCGGATCCATTACAATATGAAATTGAATTATATTAACACGTGAGAGCCTGCAATAAGGTTGGTGTTTTGAATGTTGTATGAACAGTAGAGAATGCGCTCTATGTGGTATCGAGTGTTGTACTAGAAAAGCAGTTTATTCGAGTGTTGATATTATGTTTACTGTTGTGGGTACGCAGTGTTGCAAATACGCAAGTGAAGTATATAAACAAGCAGCCTGCGCCTGATATAGAGAGGAATAGGAGATGAGAGAGAGGGGAGATGCTATGAGTACAGTCTATTTATGTCTAATATTAGAGTATATTATTATAACAAAATTTTTTTTATTTTTAAAGTTCTTCTGCCCTCACAACGAGAGGGGCGATGAATGAAGGAAGAATGAGGACGGGGGGAAAGGGAGGGGATAAAATATGTGTGAAATAAGATATATATAATATAGTCTAATTTGTGTATATTGGGTTTAATATACACCCAAATATAGTAGACTGTATATTTTTATAGTCGCTATTAATAATGATGATGTACTTGTTATACTCGGGACCATACTTGCGAAAATTGTGTGACACTCAAGGGGAAATAATTTAAAGAAAGATACTCTAATGAGGTTTTCATGTTTCAATGACAAGCAGTGTTAATCCAACCGGAAACGAGACTTGACGTAGAAGAGAAGATGGAGGAAAAAAGAAGATGGGAAAGGACGGGGTTTGTGATGGTTTTTGTATTGTGAGTAACATGGGTTAACCGTTCTCGGATAAGATATAAAGTACTATGCTGTATATAATATATAGGTCATACAATTGTATTCACATGCACTTATATTAAATAATATTATAATGATAGTGTGTGTATGTGTGTATGTGTGTATTAGAGTATCAGTATATTGGTATCGTTTCTTTCAGTTACGTCACGTGAAAATTGAGAATATACATCCTGAATGACATACGCGTAGTTCCATTTTATCTAGTGATTTCGTTTGTTAGTATGCAATATCACCTAGTTTCTTTGATTAAAGTATCCCGGATCTTTATGCATTCAGTAGTGGCAGTAATTAATACACGGGATGTTTTTATTTCGGGCAAGCTTCATTTAGTTTGGCCCTTTATGTCGGAAACCTGCGGTATTCACCGATACTAATACTAATCACATTCTTTGCTTTGACGTTATCGGAGTGAAAAGACCGTTCCATTCAACAGAATGGTGAATTAATCGAAAGAAATGGATCGTCCATAGTCTGTTATTCATATCCGAAAAAGCAAAGCAAAGAAAAATGACCAGTGATCACTATTAATAGAAACGTCTTCGGAGGGAGGAACCCTGCAGCGAAAAAGAATGAATTGAAAATGAATGAATAGAAATATCTCCGAATCTTTTCATAATGGCAAGTAAGGGATGTTGAAATCAATGCTCACTGTCTCATCTCTGGAAAAAGGGGGATAAAACCGATAAATATCTTGTTAGCATTTCCTATCAATTGACATTCCATCTATTTTCGTCTGCTAATGCTGTAAATGATGCGAAACCATCAATCACATGGAGTATAAAAAATAAGAAGCTATAAGCAATTGTTTAGCATTGATTCTTGAATAGGAAATACACTAACCAAATTCAAGCGTCTCTGGATTCAGCCCAATTATAGACACAGCAGGGCGATTAATAACAATTGACTGCCGAACTGCTTTTGATCATTCATTGCATTGCGGTTCCATACGTTAAAGCTTTTGCAATGATCACACACTGATGTTGTAGAGGCTGCCTTTGTAAAAATCTCTTTGTATATTCCTTTCAGTTTAGTTATTGTTATGCAGTACACACACAGTCTCTCTTAACCTAAAATGAATCGTTTCTTGTCTATAAAGAGTAGGTGTCACATGACGTAATAACATGATCAACAAAGAGAATTGACCCTTGAGAGTTTGGAAGATTCGTAACCTTTATATTATTTGGTTTTCTGTGCGTGCTTTATTTTATCATGGACAGCAAACATGTAAATATCGACAAGTAGTGAGTGACAGCAACGCTTATCAGGCGATGAACGGATTATACTTGCATCAGCGTTCAAACTCTGTTAAGATAGATTCATCTTTGTGCATCTTGATTATTTGCATTAAACCAGATTTCTTTTTGCCACAATTTCAAGCTTGTAATGTCACTGCTAATAGACTGAAATATCTGATAGCCTTGAATTTTAGACATACCGTATTATGCAGACTCTGTCTTTCAAACTCATGGGTAGATCATAATTTCTCCCAGTGTCCCGCCTCACTGCGTTTTGGAGTGTTAAGGACGAAATGTATTTTCTGACATAACAGAATTCATGTTCTTTTTTATCGCCTCCCGAGCCTTGACTCGCATTCTGTGTTAAAAGTTGCACTCGAGGTGGAACATATATTTAATTGTGATCCAAATATTAACGGAGTCCCCGGAATTTAATGACAAAGTGACCATGATTATACAGTTAAACCGATTCATTTTAAGGTTGTCGGATGAATTAATATTACCTACTTTAAGTCATCAACGAGAGAAATTATACATGGACTTATCATCTTCCTACGACGAAGAGGTAGAGCATAACAATCATTCTCTGGCCTTTTGTAACAAATTTATTCTAATAATGGTGTCAGTTTAAATTAGGAAAAGAGATCAGCTTACTGCTCCAAGTTTATGCATTCTAATCACAAGATATTGATTGATGTTGTGTCTAAACGATCGAGATGTCAATTATAGCCCACAACCGAAGTGTAGACACTAACTTTTTTTTGCTTAGTGCGGTTTATCTCGAATAACACAAATATCGATCGTAGAAGCAAAAAAAAAACAAAAAAAAAAAACGTGAAACAAAACACAAATACGATTTTATAATTAAAATGGGCACATATGATATGATACAAATAAGCAGTTATTATTAGGTCGTAGAAGGCTGATTAGTAGTAAATAATATTCGGTTTCAATCCAGTTGTGATAAAAACAATGCAACCCAAAAGGTTTTGATGCATTATTTATCCGACAACAGCAAAGCGAGAATTACAGGCCAGGCAATACCGATTTTTGCAAAATACATAACACAAAACCAAACTTGTGTGCTGACTAAAGTTCGGAGAAGCAAAGGCCTTCGCAAGTTTGTTTAGCGAATGAAATTAAATGACTTTTTATTGATGAGCAACACATGAGCCTGTCAAAAAATACTCCAAATTTCGTGCAAAAGGAAATTATAATTTTCTTATCAATGCACACGCGGGGTCCAGGCACGGGAGCATTCTTCGAACACCGATCATTATTCATTGCATGGTTCTGACATGTTAATTGTGATATGAGTTGCTCACCAGAATATAGAACTAGAATTGCTATTACCGCAAGGTCATATCGAAAGGTCATATAAAGTATTACGAAACAGCGATCTAATCAATTATGGTAAAAGCATCTTATTAGAAATATTTGGATCTGCGTATACTTTCGTACTACCTGTTATGAACTTTGTACCAATTCTGGAACCTATGAGACAGAGAGAAAACTCGATATACTGGCAATTAGAAATAAAGTTACAGCTATATTCCCACGATTTCATCCTTCGAATGAAAGTAAATACGGCTCAAACCTTAATTTTGCCTTTTATTAACACCAGAAAGACTGATTTATCATTTGCAATGTTTCAATTCGAACACCAACTTTATCACGATTCAGTTAAGCTTGCTTTCTCACATTCGGAAAGATGAATAAATGAATTGAACCTTATCTGAAGGCGTAATACAAATTTTATTAATTAATAAATCTTTTGGGGCGAAATGCGTCAATAAATTTTGTCTACAATAAAGAACATGTTTTGTTCTTGTATTGTTCTTTAAGTTACTGGGTCGATAAGGTTCATTATCATTCTTGTGTCTTAGTAGTTCTGTTGGTTCGCTTTAGTATTCCGTAAGTAGAGACTTGACGGTTGCTAATTGTATTGACATGCAAGTAAAATAGTCAATGGTAAGTCATTTTTGATGGTGTTTCATCCCCTTGTCTCCCTACTTACGTAAGCCAGTCAAAGCTATTCAATTTTTCTTTATAAGATACTGTTTTGATTGTTTACTGCCATTATATTAAGGCAAAAGAGATACTTTATGTCTGGCTTATTGTATGTATTATGCTTGACAATAACCAATGGCGCTAACTTGGATATGGTGTTAACCTTTGGTGCAATATATGAAAAGTTAATATAGACTCGCATAGTGCGAGCATAATGTCTGTAGTTCCGTCATGATTCTATCTCAAATAACATGGTATTCCATATACAACAGGCGCTGCTCCGATTAAATACTCTAATAAACAATCTTTTCTCGCCTTACTGACTGCTTGCACTAGCGAAATATGCGATCCATTATCTCTCTCATTGTTATCATGCGTGATACCCCACTCTCTAAACAGGGCCTTGCTAAATCTATCAATGTCTTTATCGGTCACATCCCACAGATTAGCCACAAGCGCAGGACTGTATTGATTTAACGTGAGTGAGACTCAAAATCGAATTGATAAACATAAAGCACACGTATATACATACCATCCAGCCATCATATAGCTAAGAGCTACGCCCGATGGGTCAAACTCTCCCGCTGGTTGCAGATAACCGCTACTACATCCTATCAATAGTGACACTGCACATCGGTCGAGTTGACGTATGCGGTGGCTACTAATGTATTGCTCGCCACTGTTGTGTCCAAAGTATCTAAAGAATAAAGGATGATTGTTTGTTACCTTGTCAGTGCATATGCTTTATGCATGCTATAAACATAATTTATAATATTTATAAACAACATACATGTAAAGGTCATAATTGGCAAGCCCATTTCTACATTCTTGTTCTAGTGGGGGCCGTCCGATTACTCCATCCCATTCAGGAAAACTAAACATGCCAAACAAGACAGCTCTTCAAATAATGTACATGCTACAAATAACCAAGGCTGTATAACAGTTTGACTCACCTTTTTAAATAATCTTCGAATTCGTTTTGAGTATTTGAAAGATCTTTACTCGGATTGACCACATAATATGTCTTATTTCTATCTACGGTATAGTCCGTAGATATTCCCTCTGCATTACGTTTATTAACATGCTTCATTAGCACAATTCTATCTCTTAGGAACGACAGTGATGGTAACCGTGATACCGCTTGCGATCGTATACAAGGTAAACTCTCCCACGGAAGCATCTGGACGTTCTTGTCGAGGATTAGAATGACATGTTGATCATTCTTTGAAGATGAGGGATCGGTTGATGAAACCGACTTGTTATAATCGAAAATAGCATCCCTGATGTCTACAACAAGCTTGTTGATCGAATGATAATAAATAAAATGATGACTATGTCCAGCAACAAAAAGCACTGCATATATAATTACCTGATCAACATCAATCTCATCATAGGCTATCGGTATATTATTGTATTGATATGAATCCAGTAGAAAATATATAATGTCCTCGATGTCGGTATCTGATTCTTCCCTTAACCGACCAATAACCTTACATAAGTCTGGAAGTATCTCTAATCGTGTCGAGCCCTTATGACTACCCTTCTTATTAAGAATATCTTCCAACGCCTTAGCCATCAACGTTTCTAGTCTGTGTTTAAGTTGTGCCACTGCTTCTGGATCTTCGCAACTGTCTGCTATCAACATGCCCTAGTTAAAATAACATTGATAAATACACAGAACACATCCTCGATTGCTCAATCGTAATTATGGCTACCTTAAATCCACTCAGCCAAAAGTTTTCTATATTCTCAAGTAGATTCCTCATGCGCATATCCAATTCCTTTCGATCTTCCCACCATTGATATTTCGTCTCTTTGGTCTCACATATCTTCCCCATAGTCTGAGCACTCCTAGCCAATATATCGTCGAATTCAGCAATAACTTCTTCATAGGACAACCCGCCATCCTCTCCATTCTCAGATGATACTCTTCTTAGTGGCAATCTCAGAATAAATGGATTTGTTTGGCTACGTAATCGACATAAATACATGTCATTTGCATCTGTATCGATAGATATCGAACAGACTGTCCAATTGGATGGGAGAATATCAACAAACGCCGGCGAGAATTCACCGGGAAGTGCCGTTAGTTCTTTTTCGTATAATGATCGCAACTGAGTCAGATAGTCCCGCCTTGATTTAGTATCATCATCGAGTAGCGACTCATCCATCATGATAGTTTGGGGACGCGTGACCGACGTGGCATCTGATATTGCACCTGGCCATTGTGTGTCGTCTTGCAGATATTCGGGATAAAGCTTCTCGTTTAACGCGGCAAGCATCTCCCTCTTGGCTGCAAATCCCTTCGTCATTTCTAAAGAGACGCGTACGAGTAAATATCACGCGATTGCAGGTCAATACGTCTAGTGCTTACTCACCCAGATGATAAGCACACATCTCAGTAATATCATTACATTCTGTACGATTAATTATATTTCCATACGCTTTTATAATACTCAGCATTGCAATCGCTAACGATGCATCCTGAGCAAGATAAGTAGGACCACAAGCAAATGCAAGATCGTAAGCTTCTATCAGATATTCATCAGCTTGTTCAATTTCCTGTATTGTCTCAGCAGTGACTATAATATTAGCTTTTCTTCGTCCTCTACGATTGAGTTTTGCGTCTCCAGCATTCATTATGGGTGGCAGGCAGAGGACTATCAACAATGGCAAGCATTAATAATATTTGGAACATGTAGCAAACATTTGCAATACAAAAAGCTGCTAGAATTCTCCAAGTCACACCTGAATCACGCAGCATCTGATACGTTGAGAATGGCTGTTCTAATATTTTAACAATTCTCATTATTTGTATTTTACCGAGTATAAGAAGATGTTCAGCCTATGTTCGTAACGTTGTTTGTTAATAAAAATATTGTCAACATAAATCTGACAACCGGGAAATGTCATAGTAAATTGACCCGCTAAGTTGAATTTGTTATTTCAATAACAACGAGTAAAATACCTTCTCTAGTATAGACATGTTAAGAATAAACGCGTTCTTGAGAAACTTCGATGCGTCTTCTATTTTTCCTTGTTTGCTCATCACCAGCCCAGCGCGTCGTAAAAGATTGGCTTTCATATAAGCAAGCAAGAAACATTCAAACTGGACAGTACCTATGAATTCATGTATTTAATTGATGTAAGAATTTCTGCCATTGTGATGCGTGTTATTCTACTAAACAACTTGTTCATTTTGAATAATGCATACTGTCAGCAGAAGTCTTCACTACAGGCGTTCTCGCTGGTTGAATAGTTAGCAGCTGTTTGGCCCTTGGAGTTTGAAGTACATTGTCGCTATAAAAAATCAAATGTTTAGTCTTCTATCAAGCAAAACACAAGTCTCAGTCTCTAAAAGTAAAAAGAACTTACCTCAAATCAACACGCTCGATCCGCATTATATATTCTTCTCCCATAATGTTTGTTAGAATGTTTTCAGCTGCATTATAAGATTGTAATGCTTGATCATAATCGTGTAATCTATACTTGAGATCTCCCAAACATAAATTTATTTTGACTTCTTCCCGTTCTAAAATAGAAGTCTGTCTCTGCATCAAAGCAACCTCATTCAATAAATCATTGCTCTCTTTCCAACAATGTTTTCTGTATTGTAATTCGGCAATATTCAATAGAAAAGAACTCATCACAGTATGTGCATTGTTAGACTGAGCGAGCTGTAGACCTTTGTTAAAAAAAAATTCGGCCTCTTTGATTGAACCGCGTAAGCCAAAAAGCTGTCCCAACCGATCATAACATTCGAGCAATCTCTACAACATTTACATTTCCGTTAGAAATATACAAACGTGAACACACACAAGGCAATTAGAATCCAATTACTTTTGTTACGCGTAATTTCCATCGTTGCGCTGCCAATGTCAATACCGATTTTTCTTTATCGACTCGATTTTTTCCATCGAAATCGCTATTGACGAGAAACGGATTAGACTCGACCGGATCTTTACATCGAATTCGACCTGTTCTATCTATATTTGATAACAGCCTACTAAGAATGCGCAGGGCCTTTTTTCCATCAATAATAGCGTCATTCAGTAAACCCTATTCGAACACGACGATACGAGTGAGTTCTCGACCAATCGATATTTCTGCCACAAGATTTTGCCATACTTACATGTCCCATCAAAATACACGATCGCGTCCAAGCAGCATCAGCAAGCAATAGCTGCTCGTATTTCATCCGCTTAGCAACCTTATCCATGTTCGTTTTGTTCTTACTCTCAAGACGAGCAATTGCAAGTTGCCTCGCCTCATCAAACACATTACAACTTTTGAAGATTAATAAACTGTGAGCTTAATACAAAATTTTCACACAGCTTTTCAAATACAGTATCATTGCTGGTGAGGCATGCGATAAACAGTCATTTTAACCTTTTCTCCACATGACCAATCGAGCTCATGTATCGACAGTAACCCAGCATCCATAATAAACGATGGTCAGTTTGACAATATGTGCTTTCCATAATCTTCTTTGCCTGAGACCAGGATAAGCCAGCTTTTCCCGTATACCCAAGCTGTAAATATGTTTGACCAAGCTGATTGAAAATACACACACTGTCTGTAGATGGAGTAGACAGAGAGCGTAATGATAAGAGAACTATTGTAGTATGACATGCTACCAGAAACATAGATTACCTGACAACGATTCGTCGACATTTTCTCGAACGCCATTGTTAAACCTCAATAGCAACTTTAACGTCAAGATCAAATAAACCGGTTGCTGTACTGACTCTAAAAAATCCGCCAACATCTCTTAATAATTGGTCAAGGGGGAACATGCGCAAAACTCATCACGTCGTCTCGTATGCACATCGTCTCGCACGTACATCTAGCATTTCCACATCTATCCTATCACTCCCATTAGTTAAGGATACGAAGATGCTTGTAACATCCCTCAACATCATCCAAGCATTCCCTCACTTCCTCCAGCTTCTTCCCAGACACAGTCCCCTCATTACCACGCGGGGGTACGTCAGCTAAAATAATCTTCCACAAAGCCAACGCAAGCTTGAACGTGTCTGCGTATGGCTGTCCGAGTTCTTGAGAGGTGACAGCAACCCAGGAATACGCCATCGCTAGATAGTGATTGCGTAAATGTAAGAGGCCGACGTCATTTTTGAGATTCTTGCATAGGGTGACAAGAAAAAGACTTAGTTGAAAAATAGCAACAGTGATGACATAAAATCTAATTCAAGTTCGATAGAATACTTCGGCTTTGAGTAATTCTGTGGCGGAATTTAACGTGAATATAACGTTATTACGATCTTCAAGTAGTGGGCTGCATCTCATTAATTTCGCTTTTTCTATCAAGACTCTGATTTTTCCGGACAGAGAAAGCACGAAACGCACGTTAAAATCAAACATAGATAGAGAATTAAAATCGGCGCAAGACTGCCCTTCGTAAGTGACTGCAAACCTCACCTCGCGTGTCTGATCGGATAGTCTGCCTTTTCATAAATATCTAATACGCTTTCGACCATTCTTCTCACACAAATCCCCCCTACGGACTGTCCAACGATCCTGATGACTCTCACCGCATACTCCATCAACGCGACTACATCCTTCTTGTCTACTGCTATACTAAGCAACAGCTTCATTATCGGAGTAAAATCTCCTTCCGGACAATCGAGATATGTTACTTTCACAAAACGTTCGATTAATTTTGGAATAATGGGCGCGTTACGGGAAGAAGATAAGATCGAGTGAGAGGAAGCCAGAGTGGAAAATTGAGCTATTAATGTGGATGGAATCGAAACCAGAGTCTCGGTATGTATGTGTATCGCTTTTCTGTAGTCATTAGCCTTTTAAATGGTATGCTCATTAAGATCGTGCCAAAATGAAGCGACCGAACAGCAAAGAGATAGTAATAATATATATTCTAAACCTTCTGTGCAATGTACGCGTAATGATCTCTCCATTCAACATAGGTCGATTCGATCGTACGTGCATTCAAATGTGGTTTAATTAAGCACGCAATCTCATCATGGAACGAAAGCAATTTCCTGTACATAACGTTAACGTCTTTACGAAAAGAATACGGAAGATCAATATTTTCATCCGTACAGGTACTACTCATGTCAAATTGTTGTGATTTCTGATATTTACCACATTTACATGTCTTCTCGAACTGGATTACGGATTTCAGCGTCAGGTCAAGAAGTGAAGGCAAAGTGAATCGTTCGGTTGTAACGAATATTTGCAATGAGAAAGATCGCAGATGTAATATAATTTCTGAATTATCGCCTTCAACACGTGGCGTTTAAATCATATTAGCATTAGACGATTATTCCTCAACTGTAAAGTCAGTTGATATACTCACCAGGTGACGTTTTGAGACTATTACAGGCAACGGTGAGCACTCTCAATATGGCATCTGACTGTCTTCTTGCAACAGATGCATCGATACTTTTGCACCAATCAATGATATTTTTACGTAGCTGTGGTATCCTCGTTAAGTACTATAAAAAACCGTTGTATATACACTTATCTTGCTTCCAAACAAAAATACAGCCAAAGCGTCTCTTTAACGCAATTATCCCATCACTCACCGTAATCCCCAATCCGTTTTCATACTCAGTCAAACACCTCAGACAATTTATGTGACATGCAAGAATCAGCTTCACCACCTCCATATTATTCGTTCCAATCTCGGATGGATACCAACACGCTTCACACAAATCAAGGGCCTCCGAGTCTTGTTTGATTTCTTGTTGTAAGAGACGACGAAATTCTAGCAACTTCTCCTGCAGTTTAGCATTTTCTCCATTCTTTTTTAAGGCTAAGAGACGAGTGCGTAGGTGGAGCAGCTGTGGGATGGCTTCTTGATGCTTGCATTTATTAAGTGAGGAGAGAAAAGATGACGCGCGTTATGGATATGTGTTTTCACATCATTAACGTTTACTCGATCATTGACCGGCGTAGTTTACTAACCCTCTTAAAATCAACCATTTTAACAATAATATTCGAATACGCCTTTTCAATGTCTAGTGGCTTACAGCTAGTTTTTGCTTCTCCTTCCAAAACTTGAATACAGTACAATGTAACCTCAACTAAACATTTGACCCTTGTTTTTATCACTTCACAATCAATACCGTTATTATGATTGTCTATCTGTTCTTTATACACTTTCGAGAGAGTCGACAAGCTCTGGTTGACTATTTTCTGTGCATAGCGTACACGTGTTGGTCGTGGAATGCGAGTTGTGCAGGAATTATTAGGCAATAAATCTTTTATCCGCCCAGTTACAGTATCATTACATGTTTTCCAGTCCGAAAGTCTGTTAAGGATGGTTGGTAAGGTATTGGCTTTCATATCGGTTAAGATAGAAGGTGATAAGTTGGTCAATTGTCGTGGAGAGATGCGCGTCGTTTTGTTAACTAAGTCGAGTGCGCGTTGTATTTATTATTATCATTGTTCTATGCAATGGTGTCACAAAACACGAATTGAAAAAATTCGGGAATACATTTGATTGATTGCACATGATTAATTAATAGCTTTTTACGGGGGCAGACTACAACAAAACCAGACAAAACGAACATTCTATTATGTGACATAATGAGAGGCTGATTATGATGTGGCTGTAAAATTGACCAGTGTGACTGATGACGTTTTGAAAAGTAATAATGGTGTTCATTCATAATTTATAGACTTGCGAAAAACAACCGTAGATTGCGTGCAACATATTGTTGAGGTTGTGAAAAAATCAAGCACAGCGGGATTAAACAAGGCCTAGCGTTATGACAACGAAAAAGGTTTTCAGTACTTAGATCTGAATTCCGTATTGGGGATTTTCTTTAAAAAATTAAATGGTTTACAAAAACGTCAGCATTTTCTGTTTGAAGCAGCTCATCCTGGAGTTGTCAAAGCCCGCTGGTTGTTAATGGTTCTTTTACTGAATTTAATTTGTTAAAACCCAGAAAAGCAAGTGATTCTGAAATTACCAAAGAAATTAAGTCCTTTTCCATCCTAGTACTAACTCCTCCTCCTTTGGATTACAAAAGGCAAGAGTATCTTTACCGAAACATTCGTGCATTTGTCAGAGATGAATTTAAAGGTATTGCTTGTCCAAGACCAACCTATACCGGCAATTAATAATATATTTAGACTAAAATCCTCTCCATAATTTCAATGCTCATTAATTTCCTTGCTGTCATTAAGTTCGTCTAATTTTTTAACGAATCTCGCTAGCTTTTACTGCTTTTAATTTTTAAAGCTTAAATAAAAAGAAATATTAAAATAATTATATATTTAATATCCCTCATAAAAAGGATATAAGTATATTGACAGAATAAATAAAATAAAAAGAAAAGTATGGTAAATATCCTAAAAGAACAACAAGAAAAAAACAAAGAACTACTAAACGAAATCGAAACTTTGAAAAAACAATTAACCAATAAAGAAGAAGGCCTTAAACTAAAAATCTGAAATATCAATTTTCAAGCTGATGAAACTGTTTATTCTCCTGGTCATTGGTGATACAAAAAATTAAGTAAGAAATGACTAGAAGAATCAAAGGTGAGAAGGGAAAATGAAAAAGTCTATTTTGACAATCTCTCCACTGAGGAAATGACAGAAGATTTTTTAAATCACTCAAAAGAGTTAGCTGAAACTTGCTCTAGTTATATTTCAAATTGAAGTAAAAGAGGTTATCAACTTACTGAACAAAAGAGAAAGTATGAAAAGAAGATCAAGGAATTAGAGGTGGAACTAGAAGAAAAAGATAACAAAATAGAAGAGTTAGACGATGAAGTATGGATGGAATGGGAAGAGGCAGAGAAAGCACTAGATACAGCCATGAAGTGGAGAAAGCATCAAAACATGATACGAGCCATGGTGGCTAGTGCCAGCCAAGCCACATTTACAGCTCTGACCCAGGCAATGGCTATTGATGAGCCAGAGCTGCAACAAATATGCCAGAGTATGGTGAATCCAGAACAGAGGTTGTTCACCCCTCCACCCATTGAGGTTAGGGAAAAGGAAACACCAACAAAGGGGAGAAAGCAGATGGCTAAGGACGATGATGCTTGGACCCCTACTGATGGAGAAATTTTAACCTTTGTCATAGATAATAGAATTTGCACATCATGCTGGTGTGCTGGGCATGCCTTTACTTGTGCAAAAAAGTCCCTGGCAAATGGTGTCCTAGCAACAAAGAAGTCTTTGAGTCTGAAGGATTTAGACCTTTCCTTGCTGCTTGGAAAGAAGAAAGAAGGAAGCAGAAATCAGCTAGACCAGATGCAGAACTGGGAACAATCATCCTTTCCCAGTACTGCAACCTCTGTTTCAGCACAGAACATGATGAGGACAACTGTGATGAACTGTTCCATTAAGCTCCTGCCCTTGCAGTACAAGTGCAGCTAGGGTCAGCAATGATGGTAGCTTGCAATGCATATCCTACACCCCACTACCCTAGATGAATATAAAGAACAGCATAGGTTTTAACTAGTGGCTAGTTTCCTTCGCTGGTGCTCTGGTTTATAGGAGTCAATTATTGATAGATTAATATAGTAGGATATCATAATCATAGATATGATATATAGAGTTATACAAGCCAATATATATTATATAATTTATTTATGTATTTATGTAATATTAGTGTTTGTCACTATGTCAGCACACCTTTGTTGGTTAGTAACAACACAGAAAATCAGGGTCCAACCCATGTGTGACCAATAAAGGTGTTACGGTCGGGAATTAAATTAGGGTTTTTGGGAGAGCGATTTATCTTTTCGTGTAGGTGTGTTCGCCGACCGGGGGATGTTACCAGGCTTAGCTCGTACTAT